TGTAGAATTAGCTCATCTAGTCATGTTTCCTGTCTGGTTTACCTGGGAGCACTAACATGAGTTGACCTTCTGAGAAAATGTTTTTGCTGAATATACTATAGGCCGGGGAAAGTTGGCAGTGAAAAATGGCTATTATTATTATTTGTAAGGATGCTTACAATTAAACATTCAATAAAAACAACTACAAAACATGGGAAGGTACATAAAAATAATCTCAATCATCTCTCATCATTCATCACACCTCACACAACATCCATGGCTTGTTTGAAAAATCAGGTTTTCTAAAACAGAGAAGAGAAGGGCTGGTTGGACCTCTAGGAGACTGATATTCCAGAAGATGTGAGTAGCAACAGAGAAGACACATCTCTGAAATCCCACAACATGGCAATCTTTAATTGAAAGGACCCAAAGGATGCCCACCCTTTCTGGGATGGGCAAGAACAATCTATCTCTGCTATCTATCTTTAAGATATTGCTAAAGCAATGAGGCACAAGGAATAGCTAACATTAGTGTTTAAACCAGTAAGAGAACTTATAGTACACAAAATGAAAAACAGCCTCAAAGTTTATGTTAGATTTATGATATTAATAGATTTGAACTTCTGCATTCCCTGAAAATTAACTAAGTAATTAAGATCATAGAGACTACCAAATGGTTAAGCAGAAAACGTTTATGAGCAATGGTATTGGTTTATTGATTATTCTGCTTTACCATCAAACTCTCATAGTACCTTGTAGAGAGATTTATTCAAATAATTGATCTGAAGCTGCCTAGTTAAAATAAAAATGAGACAATAAAATAATTGTGAGAACATAATTGAAAACCCTAATATGTGCACACATGCGGGTGCATGTGCCTTCAAGTCAATGTTGGCTCCTGGTGACTGAGTTCTAGTCCTGCTTTAGGGGCAAAGCTAGCTGGGCAACCTTGAGCCAGTCATTCTCTCTCAGCCCTAGGAAGCAGGCAATGGCAAACTGCTTCTGAAAAACCTTGGCAAGAAAACTGCAGAGGCTTGTCCAGGCAGTTGGTAGGAGTCAACAGTGACTTGAAGGTGCACGCACACACACATGCAGAGCTTTATGTCCCATTTTCTCCACTATTATACCCTTTGTTATATTCATTGACTCTTCAATAACCAACATGAGAAGTATTTTGTTTTGCTTATCTGTCGAGGCCCACCAAAGAAGTTCTCAGACCTTTAGTAAATATTCCTGTGACAAATGACACATTCTTTCCTCTATAGTTGCAAATGTGTTTTTTTTCTGATTTCTGATTTACATTTAATTTCTTTAAATCTTCTGAGAGCAGTGCATTCCCAACTGTGAACCCCAGCACTGAAGCCTTTGGGTGATATAAGATTTCAAATGCATTTTTCTTTGAATATTTTTTTTCTCTCTAAAATATAGATGGCTTTAAAAAGAAATGACAAAACACATCAAAGATGCCTTTGTCAAAATAATAAAGCTGAAGTGACAGCATTCCAATTAAACTATCTATTCCAGTACATGATAAATAATTTCCAATTGTCAAAATCACAGCTTCTTAATTCTCTCTTCTTTTCCTGAATCTAACCTGATATATTAAATTAATCACACTCAGAGCATACCAACCTTTTTTCTTTAGCAAAATGAAGGTAGCATATGATTTATTTTGTTCTGATTTGATGTGATTTATACTCTTCCTTTTTGGTTGGGCAAGCACTTAGGGTAGCTAACAAAATGATGTATATGTAAAATGCTGTATCTTTACGGATTTCCTAAACATTTTAAGGGGGCAGTCCATTTTTTCTATGCCAGAAAGATGAGCCTCTGACAGAAGGAAATAAGTCACCAATCATGAAAGGTTATGCCTTTCATAAAATGTGTTAGGTGGAAAAGTTCCTACTAGAGTTCTTCTGATTTTTTGCTAAATAGACTAAGAGGGCTCTCTTCCCACAAAGTCTAACAGCAAGGACATCTTCTCCTGTCAATCTTAACAACCAGACAGTTTCATAATTGGAGAGGTGGTCTCTTAGGGTTGGCAGCTTAGCTTAAATGGCACTAAGTGTTCCAAATCAGAAATTCTTGCAATACAATATGAAGATCCCTGTGTGCCTAAAATGTCTGCATCACTGTCTAACTTGTTGAGTGAAGCAGCTGGTGACATTCCCTTTATCCTTTTTGAGTACTGTGGCTATAGATGGTCATGGAGTAGTAATGCAGTTAGGGGTTAAGTGACATATAGAACCAGTAAGGTTCCACTTGGTGCTATAAGTTTCATATGACTGGCATCATTCCTTTACCTTCTCCATTTATTTTATGGAAATAAATATTGATCTGGTCATGATGGAAGATTATAAGGCAGCCTGGTGAAAATGTTTCTACAAATTTCTATGTATTAAAGTACCTCTAATGGGGATGAATTGGATAGCAAACATAACACCACTTATATGCTGTTTTTCTTCTATTATAAAACTCAGAACCCACATAGTTTTTCAGTCTTTTCAGCATTTTTAAGAAGATTTAGGGTGAAAAAGCACACTCTCTTTTCTTTATTACATCAATATCCTAGCTTTTCATCCCCATATTTATGGCACAATTAGGATAAAAAATGTGTGAGCTGGCAGCTGTATGTAGTCTCTGAGTGACTGGGCCAAGATCCCCTCATGGAGATGGAAGACTGAGTAGAAATATAAATAGATGTTTCTCCAGTCCTAATCTGGCATTCTAACTACTACAGCATGCTCTGTTACTTGAAATAACAAGAAGCTAGGAAAGCTAATATATGTACATATGTTTGACAGTTCATATTATGGATTAAGAACCTGTAATTATCACAGCTAAGAAGGTAACTTCAGTTCACCTCCTAAATTTCATTTGTCTCCTTGCCTGCTAAATCTTTTTGTTCTCCTCCCCACCCTTTTTACTCAGTTAATGAATCAATTATTTCTGTCCTTATATTTTCTGATCATAATGTGAGTTACCAGGTTTTAGAGTTGCCATAAAAAAGAAGAATTCATTTTCATTCCGATACTTCCCACAGAAGATGTGGCTATTGAAGAAGTAGAAAAACTCACTGCAGTTGTACTAATAAAACCTGGTTTAATTGCCCATTTATTACCCATTAATACATACCCATTAGATTTAAAATACCCATTTTGCCCCTTAAAACCTTTACTGCCCCAATGCAAAAAGGGGACTATAATCTGGACCACCCACTCTGGGGGGCTCTGGAGGCCACAGATACAATGCTAGTGGACTGCCTGCAATCTCTGGCCACACTTTTTGCCCCTCTGTAGCATGCCAGCTTCATGTTTCAAATTTTATTTATTAAAATAAACTTTTAAAAAATCAGGATCTTAGTGGAAGCCAGGGGAGATGTTTTGGGAATTCTGGCAACTGCGGGCAGCAGTTTGTGACCCCTGTGATTTATCAGTAGCAGAATGTGTTCAATTCTAGCCTCTTTCCCTTCCTTTGCAGCTTACTGTTAGTGCCTATGCCCAAATACAATACTCAAGAATATTGGCTTCCTTCCCTCCATATGACCCAGGCAATCAAAGTCGCTCAGTGAAAACTGAGTTCAAGTTATCTTCACTGCATCTAATAACAAATGTAGGTAGTGGATGGTGAGGGAAATGGAATCACATGGACCCAAGAAAGAAACTTGGAATTTAAATCTCACAAAAACAATATTCTGCTTGCTTAGTATTAAATAATTATAAATATCATATTGAAAAAGGATATTGGAAATATATTTGGGGGAGTATATGGAATAAAATGCTTCTAACCATTTATGGCAAAAATAATGGCTAGGGCCTTAGTTGTTCCTCCTTACGTTTTCCACCTAACAATATTACAAACATTGTATTCTACCATACCCCTGGAAAAGTAGTGAAATGCCTCCTGTGACTTCAGCTCTTTATGTAGTTTGTATTATTCCAGAGGAGGGCATAGATGACTCACTTGTACAGCAGGGGTGCAAAATCTGAGACTCCCAAGAACACATGTGGTCCTCGAGAACAGTCACGGATGGCTTTAACAAACTGACACTGATTTGTAATTTTTAATGTGACAGAAGATGGAAAGTATTTTTTTTCAAGGAAAATAATCATATGAATTGCAATGTAAGTAAGTTGAATTAAAATGTACACAACATAAATGTCTGGCTTCAAGTAGCTAAGCAGAGCTTTACTGGGTTAGATTACTAAGAAATTCCAAGGGCATAAATTAGATTGGGAAGCATCTGAAGAGAAGGCAATAGGAAGGCAACTTTGTACTGTTGCCAAGAAAACTACATGGACATGTCCATGAAGTCATTGGGAATTGAGCTTGACCTAAAGGAGTTATACTAGATAAAATAAAATGTTGCTTTTCTCCTGGCTTTGGCTACTTTTGGGAAGACCCCTCAGCCTAAAAAAGTTTGCATGTTCCTGTTATACAGGAATCCTACCATTAGGTGGATGACAAATCCCTTTGTACTGTTATAGATCCTATTGGTTCTATAATGTGTGCAACCAGCTTATTTGTGAGATGCAAGAATTTTATCAACTGTACATCGGTGTTTGTATATGTGTGATAGTTACATATTCTGGGAGATTAGATACTGCTGTCTTCCCACTTGCACCTAACCATAACATAAACATGCCCTGGCCACATATTTTTCCCCTGTGACAACATGACATTGCCTTCATCTTATCCCCAGCCCTTGAATCAGACAAACTTCCTTAGTTGTATCAATAGTAATATAGTCTATTCTCATTTTATCTCACAATGACCAAGTGCAGCTACAAAGTATTGAAAATCGGTTAGGCTTTGTCAGCTATTACCCTGGAGGGAAATCAAGTTGATGGGCTATGACTAGGAGCAGAGATAAGATAGGGAGATATTATGCGGCCAACCAATTTCAAACTAGTATAATTTTCTGCTAACTCAGATAATGAGTGGATTGGATGCTGATGTTGGGGAGGGGGGTTGGATAGCACTCATGGACAGACAGTTCTAAAAATTAAAAAAAAATGTAACAGCAGCACAGGAAGATGGGGATTTCTTTGGGTTTTGTTGGTTTTGTTTTGGTTTAGCATGTTAATCTTTGAATTGGTAGAGAGAGACTAGAACAATATGTTAGTAACTTTACTACTAACTTCTTCATTTGTAACTTGTGGAAAAGCAGACTTCCAAGGAAGAAATGGTGGACTGAAGAAGGCTCCATGAAAAGCGGAGCTGATGACTGCGGCAGGATGAAGTGCTGTCAAGTAGAGCCGCTCTTTGATAATTCCTCTCCAGACAAGGAGAGGACCTGACATCACCCACAAGTCCTCCAGACAGCTCCTCCTTGTGAGGAGACCACAAGATAGTATTCTTTGAAGGGTTTAGAGCACTGGGAGATGAAGGAATAGCCACCTTTCTCAAGCTGCGGTTGGTGCCTTTGAAAGGGTACTAAATTTGCATATTTCCTTTTCTAATCACTTTTGGAAATTGCCTGTTAACTGCTTTTCAGGTATTAGAAATCTTTTGATCAACAAGTCTGATAGCACCAGGTAAGCTTCTTTCAATCCTAAGCAAAAGAAAGTTTTAACTGTAAGTTTAAGAACTTAAAAAAAAAAAAAAGGAATAAACAGCAAAGGGGTGATTAAAATTTTGATTTTAGAAAGTTGAAAAATGGACTAGAGGTCCAGATAAATTTGAAATAAGAATTTGGAATTAAATATAAATAATCCTTCCCATGGGAAACTGCTTTTGTTTTGAATTAAAAAAAAAATAACATAAGATAAGACTTTAAAAATTGGACACTAGAGGGAACTAAAGAGTACAGTTAAAGGAGAAGAACATTCCAACTCAACTTACAATTACAGAATGAAGCAAAACATTTTAACATTGTACATTTTGAAGGATATTTTTGAGCAACCAACCCAGAAGTTAATTTTAATAGTGTCTGCCTCTATAGATAGACTGTGTCTAAAAGAAGTTATGGAAGAAGATTTGCTATCTCTGGTAACCCTTAATGCTGACTTTTGCTGACATCAGGACTGAAATGATGAGGTTTTATGGATTTGTTTACAGATAAGAGATGGGATATGGGAAGAAGAGATCATTTGTTGTACTTTAAGACAAGGTAATAAGTTACTAAAATTGTTTATACTTGTGATGGAGATGGGAAATCACATACACACACACACACAGACACAAACATATATTTCTTTACTATATTTATATTTATATTTTTTCTTTCTTTTCTATTTCTGTTTTCCCCCTTTTTTCTCTTTCTTTTCTATACCTTCTACTTTTTATTCTTTTTTTTTTTAGTTTGTATTAGTTTTTACTGTTGTAATTATAATTGTTAGTAAAATTACTATAAAATATACACTGTGGAAAACATGAATTATATTAGTGAAATAATTTTGGATCCAATTTAAATACTGGACTGTCCTCCAAAAATCTGGAAAAAGGAGGTGATCTATAATAACACAATCTAGTTATTTTTAAATTGCAGTCAAGACAATTTATTACTATCTCACACAATAAATCAAATAAAACTGATAAAAAGTGGCTGTTACAGCTATCATGAAACAAGATGTCTAAAAAATTCCAGTATAGTAAAAGTACTTTAAATAATTAACGCTTAGTCACTGTCAAAACAGAATTTAATTAAGATGGCATAAAAGTATTCATAGGCTTACATTCAGCATTTTCTCATGACTTAACATATGATTGTAATTTCTCATCTTAGCAAAACATTAAGGTTGATCAAGAATTTTATTGATTTAAATTTCAGTAGAGTCATTTCTCACTATTGTATCTGAAATAGGTAATTGCCATACCTATCACTCTGAAAAGACACATCCTTAGTTCTAATCCATTATATTTTGCTAGTTTTAAGATCCTTCTTTAGGAATTAATTTTGTCAGGAGGCCACTTTGATGAAGGAATGGAGTTGGAGTGCCAAAGACACTATGTAATATTCTACATTGATCTTTGTAGCATTTCCCAAACAAGTGCTGTCCAATGCGTTGGGCATTATTTATATTTATTTATATTTCAAATTTGGTCACTGCCCATCTCACTAGGGAGTTACTCTGGGTAGTTTACAGTAAAAACAAGAATATTAATTAAAATACAATAAAAACCATATTCATACATAAATAATCTTCCAAGGTACTGCTGGTAGATAAGGATATTAACCTACAGGAGCATCTTCAAGGTGCTAGCCATCCCAGGGCTGGTTGCCCCTCTTCTCACCCCATACAAGTTGGCAGAGTCAGGTCTTCACCTCTTCCCAGAAGGTCGAGAGAGTAGAGGCCTGCTTCACCTCTGAGGGGAGGGTATTCTATAGGGTGGGGGCAACAGCAGAGAAGGCTGTTCTAGGCCCCACCAGTTGACTTTCTTTTGTTGACGGGGTCTATAGCATACGCTCTCTGCTTCACCAGGTGGGATGGGTTGATATAATGAGGGTGAGATGATCCCCCAGGTAACCCAGTCCCATGCCATGTAGGGTAATAACAAACACCTTGAATTAGACATGACAGCAAACTGGGACCTATGCAGCTCCCACAGCAAAGGTGTAACATGTGCCATCTTTGGGGCACCCAAGATTTTAAGATATGGCATATCCTTAGAACAGCCCTTTGCATTTGATGTGGAAAGATGTTGATGTTGCATTAGGGACCAGATAGAAAGAGATCAATAGGCTTCAAAGCTGATCAGTTCCTCACCTTAATTTCAGTAACAAAGACCAGTGAAAAATAAAAGTTCAAGCTAACCATGAAAGTTCATATTAGAGTTTATTGTACCACAGAATAAAAATATGAGCAATCCTCTCTTAGTTAATAATAAATCAGGTGGATGGATTCATGGATTATATGGATAAACAAGCTTCCCAACACAGATTACATGGGTAAACAGACTCTACAACAAAAGCTTAAAGAAACAAATCCAATTTTAATCAATGCAACTTCTACCTAGTTAAGATTACACTGTCGAATGTTGTTCCACTCATGCAAGTTCCTGCCAGTTATGCCTGTATATAGCTTCTTTTGTTCACATCTTTTGTTAGGCAAATACCTTTGTACACGGAGAGAATCAGAACTATTTGCATAGTACAGCAAATCTTTGACAGGAAGGTGTGAAGTAGGCTGGGATAAAGCTTTTTCATTGGAAGGAATGGAATAAAAAGTTTCACTTGGCTGTATCCAACGATTTCTTGTAGGGTACTAATTTTATATCAGGAGTGAGCAACCTGAGGTTTTGGTTTAATATCAGAAGCCTTCTGTAAGTGATGGGCTCAGCTGTGTGATAAGAATGAGTGGATAGGGAGGAGGAGGAGGAGGAAGAGGAGGAGAGGGAAGAGGAGGAGGAGGAATAATAATAACAATAATGATGATGATGAATGGCAGAAATCAAGAAAGAAAGGGCATCCTTCATCATTTTAGGGATGGACCCCACTAATTGCTGGGTTATAATCCTCCACAGATGAAGTCTGAGAGGATCTGGCCCTTAACAGCAAAAAGATTTCTCACTTTCAATCTTACAGTATATTCAGTTCCTACAGATTTACAATAGAGCAAATGGTACACTTGAAAAAAGTTTTTCAGATGCTCAGTGTTACTGAAATATTTAATAGTGGATGTGACCTTTCAGGAATAACAGATGCTTTGATTTATTATGCTGTTATTGCTATTGTGAAAATGTTTATTTTCAGTTCTCTTCATCTGCTATAATAATGTACTTTTAATGAGGAATGTTCTGGTATTTGTTCAAGGACAAAGAAAAACTCTGCTTTTTAAAATATATAAAGTACATTATTCAGGACTCTTCTTTACTATTCAGACTTCAAGTTAAGATATAACAAAGAACCGCATTCAAAACAAAACAGCCAAAGAGATTTTCCTCAAGTGAAATTCAAAACACAATGGATGATTAGCTGAAATTCAGAATTTTGAAGTGCACTTCAAGAAAGCAGTTACATTTCTCAAAAACATTCTTCAGAGTCTAAACTTTTCACTATATTTCATCCCCACACAATTCCATAGCCACTAAGGAGATTTCCCTCAAGAGGAACATTGGAGAAATCTTCATGGAAACAAGAATGATTCAATGGAGGAAGTGTTAAAAAAAGTGTATCAAATTCATGCAATTACTATAGCCTTCATACAGACATTGCCCTCACCCCCTATATTAGAGGTGTGCAAACTGTAGCTGGATGAGTCACATAGCCCCCAGTACCCCCAGGATACACCTTTAAAATTTGGCAGCAAACTGCCCAATAAAAGTAATGCAAAGTTCTTGCTAATTAAAATTAAAAGATCCAATAGATCCATTAAGCCAGTTGAAGGTCTAACAAACCTGCTTCAGTTTAGACACTTTTCTCACCCCAATCCCTCCCCCCCCCCCCAAAAAAGAAAAGTGGGCAAAAGGTTTGAGCATTCTGAGGATTTAACTCTTATTTTCTCCACCCAGGATGAATAAAAATTGCCCCTCTCCCTCTCCGATTAGTGCCCAGAAGAAAGTTTTGTGAAATAACAACATGTAAAAATAACATCTCTAAGGCTAGTGAAGATACTTCACATTTCATTAGTGCAGAGCATAGCCTTAAAATAGCAATCCAGCATAGTGTCAGGCAAAGAAAATGTGCCTTAGAAATTATTTCAAAAACAAAGAGGAGGTCAGAGACATTCTCAGGGAATGGAAGAGGGTTCTACTTTGTTACAAGATGGCCAAAGAGTGTGTGTGTGTGTGTGTGTGTGTAATATTGCATTTTTCATTGTACAGCCATCTTTCTAGCATTTGGCAGCCTGCTTGCTTTCCCACATTTTAATTAAGTCCTTTTATATGTTCCCCCAACCCCTAACTCCTGCTGTGCTGCCTCATTGTGGCAGAGGAGTATTCCTAGGAGGAATGAGTGAAGAATGTTGGGAGTGTACAACAAGAATATATACTCCATTAGAGTCATCTAGAATAGATACTCTAACACAGGGTTCCTCAACCTCAGCAACTTTAAGATAGGTGGACTTCACCTCCCAGAATTCCCCAGCCAGCATGCTTGGCGGGGGAATTTGGGGGGGGGAGGTCACATATCTTTAAAATGGTGTGGGTGGGGGAGACCG